GCTGCTCTTCAGACAGTGAGATGCTGTGCTTTTTCAGTGTTGTCCTGCAGTGTTCTGTCAGGTTTGAATAATGAGTGTCAGACATTGTTTTCGTGACGTAAGGCCTATTGTTAATTGTTGTTTCAGTGTGTTCTGTTCGGGGAATATAGCAGTGTTTACTAACTCATGCATTACATGCTGTTGCTCATAGTTGGTGACGGCAGTTTAGCACTAAATATTACATTTAATCAGATAAACATGCCCCATTTTGACATGAATAATTACGCAAATAATGTGTCTTGTTGAGGAAACATGGCATTGCTATTTTAGTGTGATTTTATATTTTATTAATATTTTTAATTAGCTTTTATTTGTGCATTTTTAGTTTTCATTTTAATTTGAGTAATTCTGTTTTGTGCTCTTGTCTTTTTTAGTTTTGTCATATCTCCATTTTAGCTTTAATTTTTTATTTACATTTTATTTTATTTTATTTTATTTTTTAGTTACCGAAGTCTGTTTTTAATAGTTTTACTTCCATTTGACATGAATGTTTCATCGAATCATGTCTCTTGTTGAGGAAAGTTGTTTTTATTTCTAAACTATTATTTATAGTATTTATTAATAATTTGAATTGGCTTTTATTTTTATATTTTTAGTATTTAATTTGTGTTTTAGTAATTTTTTTTATTGAATTTTTTTTGTTTTAGTAATTTTTTTTTTTTTTTTAATGTCTCTGTTTATCTTTATTTTTCAGTTTTAGTTATTTTAGTGCATCAACATACTTATTTTAATCTAATATTAATAATTAAATTTTGTACCAAAATCTATTTTTAATAGTTTTCTTGTTAACACAGGTTCTGTGCTGTTTCTTTATACACAATTTTAATTCGGTGAACTTACATTTATATTACTGTGAAAAATTGATTCTTTTGCACACAAATGCAACAACAGTGTGATTTAGGCCTTATTCAGTTGAATGATTTAATGACCAGAGAAACTCTATCTAATGCACTAATTAGTGCTCCGTTTGAAAACGAACGCCTGAATCAAATCTCCAGGGGACGCTTAGAAACAAATGTCAAAACACATCCTCCCTGTGATATCTCTCTGATATTCCCTCTTTGTCTCTTTCGCAGGAAATGACTGCGAGGCCTTATAGATAGTTCGTGCTTTTGTTGCTGTGGCCCGCGTTTGCTGAGACACCCCTATCTGGAAGCACATTTGTTTCCGTTGTGAGTATTAACTACCTCAGGCACTGGAAACTGATCAAGAGGGAGCCCGGTGATCTCTCCCGGCAGCTGCGTCTGTTCAACCGGCCCCCGCTCGACCCCTGACCAGCTGTACGGCGCTCACAACCCTTCTGACCGACTGGATCCGTCAGAGCAGTGCAGGCCCGCAACGTGCCAAGACAACATCACCCTGTAGCTCGTGCCAATCCTGCCACTGTTTTTCCTTTTCTGAAAATTCATAGTCTTTTGCTGAGAGATTTTTACGATTTTTCTATTTTTATTAGAGGCCTACGGAAAGAGCTCGGAAAGAAGGGTTTTTCGCTTCCATTTGAAGGATTGATTACGCACTTTGGATTTTCGTCCAGGATTGAAGCTAGATCGTTTTTTTTCCCGAGAGGCACCCGTGAACCAGTTCTAAGGGAAAATAACTTTCACTGGGATATTTTGTGTTTTTTTTTTTTTTTTTTGGCAAACGTTTTCATGTGAGCTGCGTTCGGAGTTGCAGCTGGGCTGCAAGATTTCCTCGAACCTTCCTTCGCGCCACTCTCTCCATCGTTTCACAGCGGGTTACTGTCATGACTGCCCCTCTAATGGGATCTTTAAGCTATCTATTTACTTGATTCAAGGAGACCCAGATTAGGCATCCAGAACTCATTCGAAGGTGAAGTCGAGAGGACCGATACTTCCTGGGCGCATTGAATACTTATGTATTGTTGCAGTGCACAAGAAAGTAAAATGGACTACAAGCTGCGCTTTTTGCTTGGCGGGTCCAAGCACAAAGTGCAGCAGCATCAGCAGTTCCAGTTGCCCGAGCTCAGCCGGACCCTCAGCGCCCCGTTGGGCTCTTCTTGTTCCACCCCTTCTCCCATGGCGACCATAGGCTCCTCCCCTTCTGGCTGCCACGCCCCGCCCCCCGGCGCCACCACGGCGATCGCAGACATCCAGCAGGGCATCTCCAAATACCTGGATGCACTGAATGCGTTCTGCCGCGCGAGCGCGTTCCTGACCGAGCTCTTCGGCAGTGTTTTCCGGGACTCGCGTTACTCCAAAGCAGCTATGCAACTGAAGGACGTGCAGGAACATGTCATGGAAACGACCAGCCGGCTCACCACAGCAATAAAGCCCGAGATCGGCAAAATGCTGATGGAGCTCAGCGCAGGCGCGGCTAACTTCAAAGACCAGAACGACTTCAGCCGGCAGGACGTGGAGGTAAGTCAAATGTATTATTGCATGTTGATGTTTAGAAGTACTTGTCTTTGAGGTTAAAGGCACAATATGTAGGTTTTCGCCACTAGAGGTCACATTTTCAAAACAATAACAAAGGCGAAGCTTGAAGCCATGCTATGAAGGAGGATGCTCACGGATGAGGTAATTATTGATTAAAAAGCTTTATTAAATTGTTACGTTTTTTAAAATTAATTTCATTGGATACAATTTTGGTGATAAACCAAACAAATCATAACACAGAATTACGGTAAAAAAAAAAATAAAACCAGATTTTGTGGAAAAATAAAACCTATTTCATGGGGCCTGCATTAAAAATTATTCTTTGCAGTTTATTTGTAAGCAAATTATGTATACATTTATTCTTGAGGTCTAACAAACATGAAACAATGATTTCCTTCCCCGTTAATAGTATGAAATGAATATTGTGTTGAATATTGATATTGAATGATTTTATTGTAATAGTATTTTTGCCAAATTGCCTGACCCTACCTTTAGGGAAGTGAAAATGGTGAACCTAGATGTGAACCTAGTCCGTACAACTAGTCAGTCCTAATTAAGTCTCGTGGCACGTTTCACACAGAATGTGTTTTACATTCAATAAAAGACACTCCAGCACCTGTGGCTGTCTTCTGAAGCGTGACGACTTTAGCTGTTAAAATGAGCAAATTGTGTGGCATTATATTTTTCTGCTTATGCAAATGCAAAGGGACTTTTTGCATAATGTCAGACCAAAACAACACGTCTCATGGGTTTTACCCGGTGGTTTTGAATTGCAGATATTGTGATGGGCTGCTCTTCAGACAGTGAGATGCTGTGCTTTTTCAGTGTTGTCCTGCAGTGTTCTGTCAGGTTTGAATAATGAGTGTCAGACATTGTTTTCGTGACGTAAGGCCTATTGTTAATTGTTGTTTCAGTGTGTTCTGTGGCACGTTTCACACAGAATGTGTTTTACATTCAATAAAAGACACTCCAGCACCTGTGGCTGTCTTCTGAAGCGTGACGACTTTAGCTGTTAAAATGAGCAAATTGTGTGGCATTATATTTTTCTGCTTATGCAAATGCAAAGGGACTTTTTGCATAATGTCAGACCAAAACAACACGTCTCTCATGGGTTTTACCCGGTGGTTTTGAATTGCAGATATTGTGATGGGCTGCTCTTCAGACAGTGAGATGCTGTGCTTTTTCAGTGTTGTCCTGCAGTGTTCTGTCAGGTTTGAATAATGAGTGTCAGACATTGTTTTCGTGACGTAAGGCCTATTGTTAATTGTTGTTTCAGTGTGTTCTGTTCGGGGAATATAGCAGTGTTTACTAACTCATGCATTACATGCTGTTGCTCATAGTTGGTGACGGCAGTTTAGCACTAAATATTACATTTAATCAGATAAACATGCCCCATTTTGACATGAATAATTACGCAAATAATGTGTCTTGTTGAGGAAACATGGCATTGCTATTTTAGTGTGATTTTATATTTTATTAATATTTTTAATTAGCTTTTATTTGTGCATTTTTAGTTTTCATTTTAATTTGAGTAATTCTGTTTTGTGCTCTTGTCTTTTTTAGTTTTGTCATATCTCCATTTTAGCTTTAATTTTTTATTTACATTTTATTTTATTTTATTTTTTAGTTACCGAAGTCTGTTTTTAATAGTTTTACTTCCATTTGACATGAATGTTTCATCGAATCATGTCTCTTGTTGAGGAAAGTTGTTTTTATTTCTAAACTATTATTTATAGTATTTATTAATAATTTGAATTGGCTTTTATTTTTATATTTTTAGTATTTAATTTGTGTTTTAGTAATTTTTTTTATTGAATTTTTTTTGTTTTAGTAATTTTTTTTTTTTTTAAATGTCTCTGTTTATCTTTATTTTTCAGTTTTAGTTATTTTAGTGCATCAACATACTTATTTTAATCTAATATTAATAATTACATTTTGTACCAAAATCTATTTTTAATAGTTTTCTTGTTAACACAGGTTCTGTGCTGTTTCTTTATACACAATTTTAATTCGGTGAACTTACATTTATATTACTGTGAAAAATTGATTCTTTTGCACACAAATGCAACAACAGTGTGATTTAGGCCTTATTCAGTTGAATGATTTAATGACCAGAGAAACTCTATCTAATGCACTAATTAGTGCTCCGTTTGAAAACGAACGCCTGAATCAAATCTCCAGGGGACGCTTAGTTAGTTATTTTAGTGCATCAACATACTTATTTTAATCTAATATTAATAATTAAATTTTGTACCAAAATCTATTTTTAATAGTTTTCTTGTTAACACAGGTTCTGTGCTGTTTCTTTATACACAATTTTAATTCGGTGAACTTACATTTATATTACTGTGAAAAATTGATTCTTTTGCACACAAATGCAACAACAGTGTGATTTAGGCCTTATTCAGTTGAATGATTTAATGACCAGAGAAACTCTATCTAATGCACTAATTAGTGCTCCGTTTGAAAACGAACGCCTGAATCAAATCTCCAGGGGACGCTTAGAAACAAATGTCAAAACACATCCTCCCTGTGATATCTCTCTGATATTCCCTCTTTGTCTCTTTCGCAGGAAATGACTGCGAGGCCTTATAGATAGTTCGTGCTTTTGTTGCTGTGGCCCGCGTTTGCTGAGACACCCCTATCTGGAAGCACATTTGTTTCCGTTGTGAGTATTAACTACCTCAGGCACTGGAAACTGATCAAGAGGGAGCCCGGTGATCTCTCCCGGCAGCTGCGTCTGTTCAACCGGCCCCCGCTCGACCCCTGACCAGCTGTACGGCGCTCACAACCCTTCTGACCGACTGGATCCGTCAGAGCAGTGCAGGCCCGCAACGTGCCAAGACAACATCACCCTGTAGCTCGTGCCAATCCTGCCACTGTTTTTCCTTTTCTGAAAATTCATAGTCTTTTGCTGAGAGATTTTTACGATTTTTCTATTTTTATTAGAGGCCTACGGAAAGAGCTCGGAAAGAAGGGTTTTTCGCTTCCATTTGAAGGATTGATTACGCACTTTGGATTTTCGTCCAGGATTGAAGCTAGATCGTTTTTTTTCCCGAGAGGCACCCGTGAACCAGTTCTAAGGGAAAATAACTTTCACTGGGATATTTTGTGTTTTTTTTTTTTTTTTTTGGCAAACGTTTTCATGTGAGCTGCGTTCGGAGTTGCAGCTGGGCTGCAAGATTTCCTCGAACCTTCCTTCGCGCCACTCTCTCCATCGTTTCACAGCGGGTTACTGTCATGACTGCCCCTCTAATGGGATCTTTAAGCTATCTATTTACTTGATTCAAGGAGACCCAGATTAGGCATCCAGAACTCATTCGAAGGTGAAGTCGAGAGGACCGATACTTCCTGGGTGCATTGAATACTTATGTATTGTTGCAGTGCACAAGAAAGTAAAATGGACTACAAGCTGCGCTTTTTGCTTGGCGGGTCCAAGCACAAAGTGCAGCAGCATCAGCAGTTCCAGTTGCCCGAGCTCAGCCGGACCCTCAGCGCCCCGTTGGGCTCTTCTTGTTCCACCCCTTCTCCCATGGCGACCATAGGCTCCTCCCCTTCTGGCTGCCACGCCCCGCCCCCCGGCGCCACCACGGCGATCGCAGACATCCAGCAGGGCATCTCCAAATACCTGGATGCACTGAATGCGTTCTGCCGCGCGAGCGCGTTCCTGACCGAGCTCTTCGGCAGTGTTTTCCGGGACTCGCGTTACTCCAAAGCAGCTATGCAACTGAAGGACGTGCAGGAACATGTCATGGAAACGACCAGCCGGCTCACCACAGCAATAAAGCCCGAGATCGGCAAAATGCTGATGGAGCTCAGCGCAGGCGCGGCTAACTTCAAAGACCAGAACGACTTCAGCCGGCAGGACGTGGAGGTAAGTCAAATGTATTATTGCATGTTGATGTTTAGAAGTACTAGTCTTTGAGGCTAAAGGTAGCTTAATGTCTTGTTTACAGGCTACTTGGTGTTTTAAAATCTTGCTTTTTCAAAAGCTTTCTTGGAAGTGTTTTTAGGAGCCAATCAGATTGGAGCTTGTGGATTTTGTAAAGCTCTCGCCATTTATTTGTATGTAATATAGATGCATCAGACAGTCTAAATCGTGATACGGCTTAGTGCAATTATGCAATCGCAAAAGCCAACATTTAATAAGATAAATATATGTGCTGCATGTTTCAGAGCGAAGCGCCGAACTGTGTGTGTAAACTTTGTTTACACATGAGCAGCTCATGATCTGGTGTTTTCAGTGTCTCTGTTCACATCAAATGCTGCTCCACACAAACTCTTCTTTGCTTCTGCTTTGAGTTTAGGTTGCTTATAATGTGCATTTACAAAAAGGTCTTTAAAAAAACGTCTTCGCAGTCACATATAAACTGGCTTTAACAAAAGAGAAGCTTTAAGATCTCCCTGTAGCTTTCAACTTAAAACTGGTTAAACGTTTGAAAATGAAGAAATACAGGGGAAAATATGTATGTTATATTTCATATTATGTGATATTTCATTGCAAAATAACATATAGTATTTATGAAAAATAATAGAATAATAATTGTTGTAAGTATTGTAATTTTTTTGTAATTAATAACAATACTTACAAAAATTATATAATTTTTTTTAATATAATTTTTTACATTTTACAATGAAATATTACAATATTAATATTTCTTAATGTTATGTTATATTTTGTTGTACTTAATTTTGTTATAAATATTTTAATTATTATTATAATTAGTAGTATTATTTTAATTATTTAATTATATTTATTATTATTATTATTATTATTATTAATAATAATAATAAAGATTATTATTATTCATAGTCATGCCAGTATATAATCATAAAAAACTGGGCCAAATTGTGCAGCCATACAAAGAAGCACAGCAAACCTGTAGCTTTTTTTTGTATTTCATAAATCACATTTTAAATCAATCACAGTTTTTAACTCAATAGTATTTAGATTTTTTTCCCACGCAAATTTATTGTGCAACTATTTAAAACTCTAGAATATCCATAAATGCCCTTTTAATGTAATTCACTTTAGAATCTCTTTTTAACAGTCTGTGTGTAAGACTAGCAACTAAGGGGTTAAGTGTCTCACTCAAAGTACAATTTTAGAAGGACCGGACAAGAATCCTTATAAATCCAGCCCTACCTGGAACGAAACCTGTGACGTTTGTTCTAGCAGTGGATGCTTACCGTCAAGCTGTTGTTGTTCCTCCAGACACTGATTATTTTTCAGAGGCGGAGAGAAGAGAGGCCTCCAGATCTTTCATAGAGGAATTCCTCTGTTCAGAGATATTTTCGGAAACCAGATGCTCTCTCTCTCTATCCATCTCTCTCCAAGTGAACATACTTTCTAGCTGGTGTGGTTGGCTGTGTGAGTTGAGCTGGTCAGTCTCCATGTCTCTACTCGAGGGACACATATAAGCTGCAATGATGCCTTTATGAGCGAGGGTTTGTGCCCTGGTGGATGTGGTCACGCTCCGAGCAGGAAGGCTTCACACCACAGGCCTTTAAAACAGGCGCGCTGCGGCAGGGACCCGAGCCAGACCTGGAGCTCTACAGACCAGATTGGAGTCCCAACGGAACCTCGCGCTAAACACAAAATGCCAAAGTTTTCAAAAGTATGAAACGGAATATTCTGGCAATTCCAAATTATTTCCGCCTGAACATGCTTGCTGTGGGATGTTTTCAAATATTGAAAGTGTTTTATAATGTTTGCAGAAGAGGAAAAAATGTCCTGAATACTCACCCGGAAATTTTTACAGCAACTGCTCTGGAAAGTTTCGGCTTGTCTTGTGAACAAGGCTTGTGGTTCGTACAGAACGTAAAAAACATACCAGTTCTGCTGCTTCTTTTTTGCCAGAGCATTTCAGCTGCCAGATATGCATGAAAATGTCACTGTTTATTGAACTGCGCGCAGCCTGCTGAACTCGTGAGGAAGTATTTCTTGAATGCACGCATATTAGCGCTCTCTGTAAACACAGCACAGACTTTACAGTTGTCTATTCAGCGTCTTGTGTTTGCTAATGAGTGTTTTGTTTGCGAGTGGCCCTTCCTGCCTGGCGGGAATCTCAGGAGCAAGTTGATTCTCCTGTTTACATTGGGCTGGCAGGGCGACAGCAGGGTATTCCCGTCCCCGGGGTGTTAGCTGACACCACGATTGTCTCGATGAAGCGCCGCTACAGAAATACACCCACTGCACTGCTGAGCCAATCAGCAGCGCTCTTTTTGGGTGCCCTCAATAAAAATACAGTGATGAATGCTGATCCTGGGAGATTTTTTTATGGATAAGGCCATATTTACAGCCGACGATGGATTGGAAGACACAACACTGCTGTTCAAGCCTCGTCTAAATCTGGGCTGGACAAATTAGTTTAGATGGTGTAGTTATTTAGTTTAGTTTATGTTCACCCAGATTGATTCTGCATGATTTTTTAAGAAATGCAGTGAACTGAATACCGTTAAGGATGCAATGCGAATCAAATCACCGAAACAATAATCTTTGCTTTCTGCATTCTTGATCTTGAAAATAAACTCTTTTTAGACGCTTTAGTTTCTATTTTTCTTTCACACGGTTCTTTCCCCATATAAGAATTATTGTCATAATAATACTAATAATTAATTATTATTAATAATGATGATGACAACAATACAAAATATCATATATTAATATTGTATTATTATTTCAATATTGTTTTAATAATAATAATTAGTCATATTAAATATTATTCTATATTAATGTTTATATACATTTTTTATGTTATCTATCAGTGTTAAATTACATTATACAGTAATATAATTAATTTGAGAATTTCCTTACTTTTTACAGTATTTCATGTTTTAAAAGCCTCAATAAGTTACTGCATTTTATTATTTTTTTAAATTTTATAATTATGGACCCTTAGAGGGTTTTACTTGAGCTATGTAGTAAGTTTCACTTGTCCATATCTTTCCTGTCCCGTCGCCAACAAGTGAACGAGCCCTGAAACCTTTAAATTAGCCTTTAATAATACAGTTAGTTGATTTATGCCCTTATTAGCGGTGTGTCCAAATCTGTCGCCTGTATACGCTGTCGGCTCTCAGGTGTTTCTGCACGAGCGGTGAAAGACTGAAACTGGCGCCGCCTTGTTTTTCCTGTCTCCTGTTGCACAAGACGGCATATTTCTGTCTTTACAACTTGGCCTGTAGATATTTGCAGCAGATACCTGTAAAAGAAACCCTTTCTGCTGTGGTGGGAGTGACACTTTATGAACAGCTGGGGGAAGGAATCGCATCATGCATCTTGTCTCCACGCTCTCGTCCTGCTGAGTAAGACTCCGTGAGTCAGGAAAGACTCTCTGTTTAGGACGTGATACGGCAGTGACTCTGTAAATCTGCTCAGAATGCATCTGTGTCGAATGTTTCGAACACGCTCGTTGCTACCGGGATCGACCGCCGGTTCCCGGAGCATCAAGCGCGGTCTGCTGCGTTGACCTCGAAGGGGTTTCTTGCCTCATTTGGTGTGTGGTTTTGGTTCTGCTTATTAAAAAAACATCAGCACCAGATGTACGTGCCTGTTTCTGGCCTGATTGTTGTTTTTGAAGTCTCTTCTATGATGTAAAGACTGCTTTAATGAACACATGACATAAGGAAAGCTTAGACACATCCCCTTTATCTCATTCTCAGAAAAACGATCCCTGCTTTTGACAACGCTAAAGGCTGATTCTGATGATTTTTTGTTTTTATGTAAAAACATCACCTTCTGTGGCCTTTTTTGATCAAAGCAGACTTTTTTTTGTGCAGAGTAACATGCATTGATGAATCTCACTATAAGACCAGCAAAGAATAATAATAATAATAATAATAAATAAACAATGATACTATTTATTATTATTATTATTATTAATATCATTTTTTACATAAAATTATTACAACTTTAAGGATCATCACACATTTTTTTCTTCCACATTTTAATTTTATCAGTAAATCTCTATTGTGCAGCTTTTTGTTTCCGAAAAAAATAATTTTTATTAATATTTTTAATAGAGTAATACAATTGTTGTTTTATTGGCTTCATTTAATAAATTTGTATTAAATCTTAAAGCCAGAAAAAAACACAGCATATACTCCAATTATTGTAAAAAATCTAATTAAATGATAAAATTCTTAGTTTTATGAATTAAATTTATTAGACAAAAAGCCTGTTTCTTAAAATTTAAATAAGCCATTAAAACAGATAAAAAAACAACAACAACATGCTTTAATTTGTGCAGAAATAAGACACGTTTATTTATTTATTTACAAAAGCAATACAAACAGATACACGGTGATTATACACAAAAGTGCCATTACTGTAGACATAAAAGCATATATAGATAAATAAAACGGATTTATTAGGGCGTGATTGAAAGTCAGTTTTGATGTTGTTTTGTGGTTAACGGTTTGATGTAACTCTTTCGCAGGTGCTGGGCCGCTGCTTCCTGACGGTGATGCAGGTGCATTTCCAGTTCTTGTCACAGGCGTTGCAGAAAGTCCAGCCGGTGGCGCAGTCCTGTCTGGCCGAGGCGCTAGCGCAGGTTCAAGAGAGACACGGAAACGCCCACACGCAGAACACGAGCCCCGGGCCCCTGACGGAGCTGGAGGAGGCCGTCCGCTCATGGAAAGGAGCGTCAGAGGTGCAAACACCACCAGTCAATGCATGACCAACCATTATTTGTGCGATTCACCCATTTATTGTCTTAATAAAAAATAATAAAAATGTTTAGTTTTTTGTAGTTCACCCATTAATTGTCAAAATATTACTTTGTGACGTCCAGTCTGTCATCTTGTTCAGTTTAGACTGCATACTACCTCAGATACTTACCTAAATATTTCAGATAAAATAAACACTGATGCATTTGAATTAACCAGCCCTGACATAATGATTTTAAAATGTGTATATATATATATATACACACTACCGTTCAAAAGTTTGGGATCAGAACGAATTTGAATGTTTTTTAAAGGAGTTTCTTATGCTCATCAAGGCTGCATTTATTTGATAAATACAGGGAAAAAAATGTATATTGTGAAATATTATTATGATGTAAAATAACATTTTTCTATTTTAGTATACATTAAAATCTCATTTATTTATCTGATGTAAAGCTGTATTTTCAGCATCATTCCTCCAGTCTTCAGTGTCACATGATCTTCAGAAATCATTCTAATATCCTGATTTATTATCAGTGCTGGAAACTGTTGTGCTGCTTAATCTTTTTTTGGAACCTGTGATACTTTTTTTCAGGATTCTTTGATGAATAAAAACTTAAAGAAGAGCATTTATTTAAAATAGAAATCTTTTCTAACAATGTACACTATCGTTCAAAAGTTTGGGGTCAGTACATTTTTATTCTTTTTTTTTTTTTAAAGAAATTAGAAAATTGTTAAGTTGTTAAATTGTGATAGAAGAAGTGATAGCAAAGATTTATATTCTTAGAAAATATTTATATTTGGAATAAATGCTGTTCTTTTTAACTTATTAATCAAAGAATCCTGAAAAAAATATTGCAGTTTCCCCAAAAATATTTGGCAGCACAACTGTTGCCAACATTGATAATTCTGATAATAAATCAGCATATTAGAATGATTTCTGAAGATCATGTGACACTTTATTCTGGAGTAATGGCTGATGGAAATTCAGCTTTGCATCACAGAAATAAATTATATTTTAAAGGACATTAAAATAGAAACCATTATTTTTTATTGTAATAACATTTTGCAAGATTACTGTTTTTTCTGTATTTTTGATCAAATAAATGCAACCTTGATGAGCAGAAGAGTCTTCTTTAAAAAACATTACAAGTCTTACTGATCCCAAACTTTTGAACTGTGGTGTATATATTATATGTCACCCCGGAGCACAAAACCAGTCATAATGAAGTTCTTAGCAATGCATATTACTAATCAAAAATGAAGCTTTAAGATATTTATGGTGAGAAATTTACAAAATATCTTCATGGAACATGATCTTTACTTAATATCCTAATGATTTTTGGCATAAAAGAAAAATCTATAATTTTGACCCATAAAATTTATTTTTGGCTATTGCTACAAATATACCCCAGCGACTTAACACTGCTTTTGTGCTGCAGGGTCACATATGTATATTATTTAGTATTACTTTTATAGTATAGTATTTATTTTTAGTATTTTTGCAATAATAATAATTGAATATATTATGTACCTAAACTACTTAAAAATGAAGTGCATAAATAAGATTAGCAGCAGCAGTGTGGCAGGACGCAGTGTTTTGTATGTGAAATGTGTGTGTGTGTGTGTTTCAGGTGACGGCGTGTCTCAGGGAGAGAGGGAGAGACGGCTGTCTGTCTGGCATTCAGGTACAGCAGCTCTTCTGCTCTCAGAACACCTCCATCCCTGAACACCAGCTCAAAGAGCTCAATGCCAAGATCAACAACGCTCTACAGGTGAACACCACCGTAACAAATTTCTACCAGAACATTGTAGTTATTGCAGTGATTGTTAGTGTTGTAAAGTCATAATGAATTAATGTGGCTCTCCTTCAAACACTGCAAGAGCCTTTTCAGTATCTGTTTGATTTCGTTTTAATCTTACCTTGCGATGTCCAGTCTGTTATCCTTTTCAGTTCTGACTGATGCATTTATAATATATAAAATATAATATTTTCAGGGCTTGTTGACTCAAATGCATCAGTAAGAACTGAAAAGCATATACATATATAATTGGAAAAAAGTGATATTACCTAGTATTTCATGTATATGACATGTCAAAAAATATTTTAAACTATTTATATCAGCTCATATTATTTGAGTACATGTAATAGTTTTGTTTTAAAGAATTTGTTGATCACCTGCAGGACTTTATAAGTAAAATGTGACACGCTATTGAATAGAGATATACACTAATGTAATAAAAATGCATAAAAAATCTGTTTATAATGAGGCTTATTTTGAGCCAATAAATGACCCACTGACATTAATAAGGCTCTGTGTGTGTGTGTGTGTGTGTGTTGCAGGCGTATAAAGCGGCGTTAGACTCTTTGGGTCACAGTGAATACGCGCTGAAGGCCGGATTTCACCTTAATCCCAAATCAGTGGAAGCAGCTTTGCAGGTATGTTTGTCGTGTGTGGAATTAGAGTTTAGTGCAGATTAAAGCTGCTTTCTGGAGGTTCATGTGTTCAGTAGTTGCACAGAAACAGATGTTTGACTGTCCACATCAAGTGTGTGATCCACTTTGCATCATATTCTGGATAAGAGCTATTTGTTTAGACAGGAGGAGACCTTTTGACTGACTTCTAAAACAACGAACCACATTTCTTTTACTTTGTGCCTCAAATGAGTCACTGGGGAAATAGCTGGTTGTGTTCTTCAACTGTAAGTTGAAGAATGTAAGTACTGGCAGTAAGTACTGCCAAATGAATAAATGTAAATGAAACGTTCATGGTTTTGCTGCCATGAAACCATTGCAATCTTCCAGCGATTAATTCTTCCTCAGAAGCGCTCATTTTGCAGCCTGTTGCTTGTAAGCTTGACTTTTATGATTGTATCCGCACAGGCACATGCACTTGTGTGTTGTCATGTATTTGGCTCAGTCATGTGATTTTATTGTGTGATTTTTACAGGGCTGCTGCAGTGACGCCGAGGCCCAGCAGGCCGGACGCTTTCACACCACGTCTCAGCCCATCCAGTGTGAATTACCCACAATCCCCGTCCAGATCGGCTCTCATCTCCTCCGAGGAGTTTCTTTCAACGAAAGCGCATCAGATAACCTCAAGCTTAAAATGGTACCCAGAACACACACTTATGAATGATGACTAGTGCAGATCTCAGGCTGTTTGTTTTACCCATTTGTGAAGATTTCTGTCTCATTTCACATCCAAAACAGGAAAATTAGTCTCTTATAAGACCATTTAGCAGTTTTTTATTATTTTCGTGACAAGTAAGCATGTTCTCCCTTTAAATGCAATACACACTATTGGTCAAAAGTTTGGGGTTAGTAAGATTTTGGTGAAAAATTAATACTTTTTTTTTGCTGTTCTTTTGAAGTTTCTATTCATCAAAGAATCACAGTTTCCACAAACTGTTTTCAACATTGATAATAATCAGAAATGTTTCTCGAGCAGCAAATCAGCATATTAGAATGATTTCTGAAGATCATGTGACACTGAAGACTGGAGGAATGATGCTGAAAATACAGCTGCACATCACAGAAATAAATGACAGTTTACTGTATATTCAAATAGAAACAGTTGTTTTGAATTGTAATAATATTTCACTGTTTTACTGTATTTTTGATCAAATAAATGCAGACTTTCAGAAACATCTTATCGATCACATTACATTTTTGTACGGTAGTGTTGTTTAAATTGTGCAGTAAAACATTCATGCACATTACAGTAAAGAGAATCATCTAAATTCAATGAAACCTCTTTCCCAGCATGCTGTGCTGCAGCTGATCAAGGATGCGGTGGATCAGAACGGTGTGGCCGTGCGGGACGATTCCCCCGTCACAGAGGTGCTGAACCAGGTGTGTCCCTCCAGCTGGAGAGGAGCCTGTAAGACGGCCGTTCAGCTGCTGTTTGGACAGGCTGGACTGGTGAGTTTCACACGCTTGACTGACGGCTTAAAGTCTGATCCACATTGCAGCTTATTTCAGACACTTATAAGACATGTATAAAACCATCAACCACATTTTTGTGCTGCATTTACATTAGGGATGCACCGAAATGAAAATTCTTGGCCGAAGCCGAACAAAATGAAACACTGGGCCGAATACCGAACAGGTTTTTTCTAATTTTTCCCCCATGTAGGCCCGTTTTGCCATTTTTTTTCCACAATTGCATAAATTAAATAGCCAAAATGTGCTTTTTACGGTTTTGTCATGCTTTTCAAATAAAAAAATAAATTACAAAACAACTATTTAAAAATATTTACTTAACACTGAACATTTTTTAACATTCTAGCAGACATTATACCAACAAAGCACAATTTAACTCAAAATTAATACGTTGGTAAAATAATATTTTTTTGGCCATTTTTGAGACTTGAATCAGGCATGTATTTTTTACTGTACAAATAAAGGCAGCCTTGCTGAGCAGAAGAGACTTCTTTTAAAACATTAGAATATATTACAGATCCCGATTTGAACACTATATGTGAATGTTATAATAAATGTATTAATAGAGCTGTTGTAGGGTAATTATTATTATTGTCTTTTTTATTTTATTTTACAGAACAACAGTAAAATTACAATACTATCATTTATGAATGTTGATGGAGTTTGCTCTGCTTTTATTTGGGCAGAAACCCGCAGGTAGATCTCAGTGCTTCTTTTTGTTGACAACAGCATGCAGATTTATAAATGATTCTCATTATGAATTTGGGAAGATGCTTGCCGCGCGTATCACATTGTCACATGCCTTTCACAAAAATGTTACTGAGCAAATGACGAGTAACCGTTTCAGCGCATTAGAAAATATAACATTCTGCAGTTTATTTACTAATCGTTTGAGGCCATTTCGTGATTTCAATCATCATACAGTAACCTAACCACCAGCATCAGCCACCTCTTCTTCTCATCGGAGACATGTGATGCAGCACTAAACAGTCTTTCGCTGTCGGTGCTTCGTGCTTGTAATGATTTCTGCGTCTTTCTCTGATAGTTTTAAATACTGCCAACATGTTTGCTGCATTAGTGCGTGCCTCTATTTGATTGCGTTAGTCATTGTTCGGTACATATTATCCGGCCTTTTCGCTTATTCCGAACACCGAAATAGATTTTTTTTGCTATTTTCGGCCGAATAATTTCGGTTGCCGAACATTCGGTGCATCCCTAATTTACATTTCTACATTTATTCAAAGTGACTTACATTGCTTTAATGCATTCAAGGTAGTTTACATTTGATCTGTTTATCAGTGACGTTTAGAAGTGGGTGCATATGATGCAATGATCTATCTGTAGTAGAATGGACTCATGTATCATCGTATGATATTTGCTTGCTTCTAAATGTGTCTCAAAGAAAACTATGAGTTGTCCTTGAAAGATTTGATTTCATAAACCTCACAAATGTTAGCATATTCAGTTTCCTAATCTGACCTGAGAAGTGCTCGTAACAGCCTAGGAACCTTTTGTTTTCATGATTTCATTATTTTTATTAAAATTGGGTCAATTTGAGTCAGTTTCAGGAAAAGCATCTTCTTTTCTATTAAACTTTCTATCAACCAATATTAACTAATATGTCCAATCCAGAGCAGTGTTATTTTAGTATCAAGATTTAAATTTTTTTAATAGATGTTCTTTTCATTTTAAATTTAAAGTGTTTTTGTCACTTGTATTTATTTAATTAAAATTTTTTTTGGAACTACTTAATATTGTGTTTTTGACTACTATGCACTTACATGTAAATTAATAATTTGATACAATGCACTCTTGTGTACCTACATGTTTTTACATGTACTTATTTTTAAGAATATCTTTCTATAATTACATCTGTAATTAATGTCTATAGTAGTAGTTGTAATATTAATTATCTACATGTACTTACTATATGGTTAGGATTTGGTTTAGGGTTACTTGCATTTAATTATGCATAATTAATTGTTATTATAATAGTAAGTACATGTAGCGTGCAACAAGAACACCTTAAAATAAACTGTTACCATAGTAGTTAAAGTGGTTAAAGACACCTAATATGAAGTGAGACCCGTTTTTTTAATTTTTATTTAAGTTTTAGTTTTTCAGTACATATGGTTAAACTGAGTAAAAATAAAACTAATTGCCGAAATAAGCTTACATTTTTCATTAACATTTATTTAAATTCAAGTAACAATTTTTTTTTAATAACCCTGATATTCCAGAATAATTTCATGAACTCACTGTCAGCAATGTTCACACAAAAGAAAGAAAGAAAGTCTGAATGCTGAGGATTTGGAAAAGGCCTCCGGCTACAGGAAAATCATTTCTGAATAATCATAAAGTGGTTTCCATGACGCTGTTTCTGTCCTTGCCGTGTGTGTGGTCGGAGTGACCGTGACCTTTGGGCGCGCGTGTGTGTTTTCAGTGGAGAGTCTCATTCAGTCAGTTGAGTCACATTGAGGATACACCTAATAACAATAGCCCACTTCCTGTTTAATAGGAAATGCCTTCTCCGTTTCAAATGCCACTGCATGGCGTGGCTTCACAGCCTCTTTTCAAGAACTGTGGGAAATGTTGCATTTGTGTTTTCGGATGGAAATGGCTCTCTGACAGGATGAAAAGCCGGGTTACTGGGGCTCTCAAGCGTCCACTTAGTTTGTCTGAGAAATGATTGATTATGATCACTGAACGAGCAACACATCATTTATACTGGCAGATCTTCATGACGGTGTGTACAGTACAGTTATTAAACCTGATGACGTGTGTGTGTGTGTGTGTGTGTGCAGGTTGTGGTTGACACGGCTCAGATTGAGAATAAGGAAGCTTACGCCCCTCAGATCTCTCTTGAAGGATTTAAAGTTGTGATCCAGGTTCCTTCTACATGGTGAGTAACCGTATACGGCAATATTTATGGTAATTATAGCAGTTAATTGAATCTCAGTAGCACCGTCAGTAGATCCACATCCTCTCTGGCTGCAGGTTACTAGAGTTCAAGATGCTTTATTTGCCATTTATTCAAAGTAGAGATGATTAATGCTGTGTGTGAATAAAATAAACCATTATGCTCTTAATGAAGATATTAACCCTTGTTAATTTGGGTCAATTTGAGACAGTTTCAGGAAAAGCATCCTATTTTCTATTAAATATTAAACTGAAAGAAGTTATATAATTGCTAGACTTTTATATTGTTGTGAGAAAAATATAGTTAAATAAAAAATAAAAAAAAGATCGCGTGTGTGTTTTCAGTGGAGAGTCTCATTCAGTCAGTTGAGTCACATTGAGGATACACCTAATAACAATAGCCCACTTCCTGTTTAATAGGAAATGCCTTCTCCATTTCAAATGCCACTGCATGGCGTGGCTTCACAGCCTCTTTTCAAGAACTGTGGGAAATGTTGCATTTGTGTTTTCGGATGGAAATGGCTCTCTGACAGGATGAAAAGCCGGGTTACTGGGGCTCTCAAGCGTCCACTTAGTTTGTCTGAGAAATGATTGATTATGATCACTGAACGAGCAACACATCATTTATACTGGCAGATCTTCATGACGGTGTGTACAGTACAGTTATTAAACCTGATGACGTGTGTGTGTGTGTGTGTGTGTGCAGGTTGTGGTTGACACGGCTCAGATTGAGAATAAGGAAGCTTACGCCCCTCAGATCTCTCTTGAAGGATTTAAAGTTGTGATCCAGGTTCCTTCTACATGGTGAGTAACCGTATACGGCAATATTTATGGTAATTATAGCAGTTAATTGAATCTGAGTAGCACCGTCAGTAGATCCACATCCTCTCTGGCTGCAGGTTACTAGAGTTCAAGATGCTTTATTTGCCATTTATTCAAAGTAAAGATGATTAATGCTGTGTGTGAATAAAATAAACCATTATGCTCTTAATGAAGATATTAACCCTTGTTAATTTGGGTCAATTTGAGACAGTTTCAGGAAAAGCATCCTATTTTCTATTAAATATTCAACTGAAAGAAGTTATATAATTGCTAGACTTATATTGTTGTGAGAAAAATATAGTTAAATAAAAAATAAAAAAAAGATTTTGTATTTTATTTGTTTGATCTATTTTCTCTGCTGCTAAGCTTAGCGTGAGAACAGCCTTTCCTGGTGAAATAAAATAAAACTGTAAAGTAAAATGGATAACAGTGAAGTCTAATCTTATCTTCTAAATGTACTTTTTGTCTTGCAGGTGTCTGAAGGAGGATCCAGCGACGATGTCTCTGCTGCAGCGCAGTCTGGATCCCGAGAAGACCCTCGGCTTGGTGGACGTGCTTTACACGGCTGTGTTTGACCTCCAGCGCTGGAAGGAGCGCAAGTCAGTGTCAGCATTAGTGCTGCAATCATAACTTCATACCTTAGTGCGCTCCATGATATTAAAATAACATAGATTGATGATGTAATTGCTTGCTGGTGTTTCTGTGCGCAGGGAACAGAGTTTGCCCACCATTCAGATCCAGCTACAACGAGACACGACTGATTACGGCGGCCCCATCGATCTTCCTCCCGGGAACAGCACCAAATCCTCCGGCGGCCTCCCCAAAACCATCTCCAAACTCACCTCACGCTTCACCAAGAAAACCTCGTCCAACTCCAGCGCAGGCGGCAGTTACTCCATCCCCAGCACGCCGTCAAGGAGCAGCAGCAGCTCGGACGACAAATCCGGCCGCCTGCGCAGCCTCCTGCAGATGAGCAGCATGCCGTGCACACCTGACCCCAGCCACGCGCAGACCGCCAACGGCGCATCCGCAGATGAGCAGGGCATGAACCTGCCCACCGACCAGGAGATGCAAGACGTCATCGACTTCCTATCGGGGTTCAACATGGGGAAATCCCAGCAGGCGTCTCCGCTGGTGAAGAGGAGGAACTCTGTGGCGTCTACGAATGCGGCCGACTTGAAGCCGCCCAGCGGAGCGACTCCGCTCACCTCGCAGTCTCAAGTGTCTCAAATGTTGGCGCAAACCTTGAAGCAACAACAGCAGCAGCAGCAGCTTCCGTCAACACCAAAACAGCAGCAAACGCAGCCGCAGTCGCAGCCGACCTCACAGACTCTACCGTTCTACCAGCATCTCTTGCAGCCGATCGGTCAGCCGCCGCAGCAAACAGCACCCGTTTCCCCGCAGCTCTCTACCCAGCAGCCCCCGCAGCCAAGAGCCCCCAGCAAGTGGCCCCAGGGTCCTTTAGGAGGCCTCTCGCCCATCGGGCCCTTGACGCAGTGGCCCGCCCCGGGCCTGCCGGACCTCAGCTCTGACCTCTACAGTCTGGGGCTGGTCAGTACGTACATGGACAGCATGATGTCGGAGATGCTTGGCCACAAGCCCCCACAGGGACCACGGAACAACACCTGGCCCAACCGAGACCAAAGTGACCAGAGTCTGTTCGGGGTGTTGGGAGACTCCATGCCCTTTGACCCTGCAGGTGAGCACAGACCGGTCAGCTCAGACGGGTTCATCATAGGTTTTGTAGTGTTAGAGTATCAGAGCAGAACTCTGGCGCATGGAAGAGAATGAAAGTTCTGATCATTTTACATTAAGCCATTACATTTTATATATGTTTGTGTGTGTGTGTGTGTGTGTGTATATATATATACTTTTTAAAATAATTTGATAAATTCTAAACATTGCTATATGACTTAAAGCTAATTAGAAATATTACAAAAATCTAAAAAACTAATAAAAATGACAAAAGTACAAGAAATTACTAAAAATGAAAACGATACAAAATATAAAAATTATAAAAGTATAAATATTTTTTCAAAAACATAATAAAACCGTTTCAAATGTATGACAGTCCCAGCTAAAAATTAATTTTCTTATGTATATTTACAGTATAAGAACATGTGTAAGTAAATGTATTTTTAGCTGGAACTGTCACACATTTGTTTGTTTTTTTAATATTTAAATATTAAATATTTTATGTTTTCAGTGTCATTTTAATCTTTTTTTTTTTTTTTTTTACTTTTGTTATTCTTAGTTTATTTTTTTTATATATATTTTTATATTTATTTTTATTTCAGTTAGTCATTTTTGTACTTAACCAATTTATTTCTGTTAGTTGCCAAGACAGCATTTATAATTTTTGTTTAGGTTTTTTAAGTTTAACTGTTTCATCTAATATTTATATTTTATTTTAACTTTATTTCAATTATAAAATTGTTTTAATAGTTTTAGTAAACAGTAAGAACACTGATTTTTGTATTTAAAATTTTTTTTTTTATTTGTTTCAATCTGCCATATCGTCATTAAATACTTTTATTATACTGTAGTACTATTACTGCTGTACTATTTTTAGTGTTTTGTGTGGTTGTTTTTTTATTTATTTATTTTTGCTTTATGAGCTAATATTGCCCATGACCCCTTGTTTCGGTGAGGATCGAAACACTGAAGCAGTCACAGCAGTTTTTACATTTATGAAATGGTGATCTATGCGTTCATGTTTCCATCTGCACTTGATTAATTGCATTGCTTTTATTGCAATATTTTCTTTAGAATGAATCACTCTGAAAGAATGTATCAAATTGACAGTGTAATTTTAATGTAATGAATTTAGTTAGATGCTCACACTTGAATGCATGTAATATAAGGGGTTGTCACATCACAACACAATTGTATTACGTATTACTTAAGTGTTTTCTCATTAGTGCATAGTTGAATGTGCCATGGTTTTTATACTGTATGTGTGTGTGTGTGTGTGTGTGTGTGTATGTAGTAGTTACTGTGGTGCAGCAGGTCACTTTAGTGCATTGCTGGTCTGTGTTGGACTCTATTATGTGTTTCTGCTGTGCTGGACAGTTTAAACAAAGAGCAGGACACAGCGACACACATCAGATCCAGAGTTTGCACGTTATGTTGCCGGGGTCAATCAGGCCATGCAGCAGAAGCGGCAGGCACAGCATGTTCGTCGGCCCAGCAACACCCGCAGTAACTGGCCACACCCAGACGAGCAGCACAGAGGCTGGACACACCCAGAGTACTACAGCGAGGGGTGAGAGACGCTCCGACCAATCACAGCACAGCGTCTCATCTGTGTTTTATCCATGATCAATTATTTCAGTTTCCATTTTCTTACTTCGTGAAGTCCAGTAGAACTGCACTTGAAAACTGATTTCTGATGCATTTCATTTTTAAGCACATAAAATACAGTCTTATCAATCCATTGATCAATCCTTTAGAGAGACAGGCGTGTAAATCACAGTAAATGATCTTTTCTGTTGCACAACAAACACTAGCATTGACCAGCATCATTTATCTCCTGCAATTTGGATGCTAGGAAATGTGTTCATTGACAATGAAACACCTTCAATTTAGCTTGTTATGGAAAAGTTAGAGATGAAGTAGAAATATCCACATTAGAGCAAAATTCTCAATACCTGTTCAACAAGGTACTCTGCTGCTTTTGCGATCATACACTACCAGTCAAGTTTGTAATAATTATTTTTTATTCCAATAGAATTTTTTGAACGCCAAGGCTGCATTTATTTGATCAAAAATACAGTAAAAACAGTATTAATTTGATATATTACAATTTAAAATACAATTTGAATTTAATTAAAATTTGAATATGCTGATTTGCGTTTTATCCAACATTTTTGATTATCAATGCTGAAAAATGGTTTTTGCTGCTTAATATTTTAGTGCCAAGAAATTTATAATGCTACAAAAGATTTCTGTTTCAAATAAATGCTGTTTTGAACTGTGTATCAAACAATCCTGTAAAAGAATATGTATCACAGTTTCCACAGAAATATTGGTCAGCACAGCTGTTTTCAACATTGATAATAATCAGAAATATTTCTCGAGCAGCAAATCAGCATATTATACTGATTTCTGAAGATCATGTGACACTGAAGACTGGAGGAATGATGCTGAAAATAATAAAAACAGCTGTTTTAAATTGTAATAATTATATTTGACCCTTTTTTACTGTATTTTTGATCAAATAAATGCAGCCTTGGTGAGCAGAAGAGACTTATTTAAAAATATAAAACAATTAATTATTCCAAACTTATGAACCATAGTGTAAATATTGCAGTTAATAATAGTTCTATATGTTAATATCGATGTTTGTTTTCGAGCAGGGAGGCGGTCAACAGCGGCTGGTCAGCCAATCAGGGGGATTCGGCCAGCTCGAGTGACGAGGCGTCCTCAGCCAATGGGGACAGTCTGTTCTCCATGTTCTCCGGGCCTGACCTGGTGGCGGCTGTTAAACAAAGACGGTAGGAGTTTAATTTGGTTTATCAGACACTTCTATCCAAAACATTTTGTCAGGACGGTGTGTTTGAGATGAGTGTGTCCCTCATGTTGAGTGTGTTTTTTTTAGGAAACACAGCTGTGGCGAACAAGAAGTATGCACTCTGCCCTCTCCTCCTCTCCACCACGCCAGTGACGACAGTAACCAGGTACTAATGACTCAATAAACACCCACACGTATATATTCCATCATAATAAGAGGTGGAGTTTAACAGTGGGTGTTTTCTCATATGGAGCTGTTACTGTAAATATATATATACAGTATATATATTTTTTTTGAAAACATTGTTTTTTTTGTTTAGAGATCATATGTAAATGGGATGTGGTGTTTAAAATGCTGTCAAATTAACTTGAGACAACAGTTGTGCATCTTAAGGAAAAGGTTCTGTAATGAGTTCTGCGTTAAAGTTCGGATCTAAGAACTTGAAGAGTTTTTAAACTCTTGCTACACGAGTTGATTGTCTTTCTGCAAAAATAAAATGAACAACCTTGTGTTCATAGTTGGCGCCCCATGCATTTCAAATTGGTAATGTACTGTATTTGTAACTTAGCCCATTAAACACAATTTTTGATTATTAATTAAACAATTTTCTGATGTCGCATCAAATTCAATGTTAAGATGCCAGGAAATGACATCACAGAGAGGACTCTGATCTAAATTGTCCGATCATTTGATTCTGATTATTTATTATGAAAGTTATTTCAGGTGTTGTTAAATGTAAAAACCCCAAGAAAACTTCATGATAGTTATGATTTAAAAAAAATAAAAAATATTTGAATTAAAAAATAAATAAATAAAAGATTTAAAAATGTTAAACTAATTTGTATTTTTATTTTATCAAAAAGTCTTTATTTTTAAATAGTTAATTTTTTTATTGCGACAATGTGCAAAAGAAGGTACAGTTAAACTCTTTAAGAAAGAAAAAAATGTACCTCACATCTTGGGAAAATGTTTTACTTAAGCTTATATTACGTTAACTTATAGAGTAATGGTATAATGTGTAGCATAATACAAATATAAGATTAATACTGTCAATATTTGTTCAATATAAATATATTGTATTTGAACCTTTTGACATTTTTTTTATTAGCCACTTATTTTAAAATTATTTAAAAAAGATTTGAATAACATCACCATGAATACACAGATTACATGTCTCAGAAACTAAAAACTTGTTTTTAGAATCTTTGAAACTCAAGTGGAAACTTTTTAAATACGTTAAACTGTTTTCACCATCTTGAGCATCAGCATTTGTCATTGACCTTTGTGCTATTGTGTGTTTCTTGCACATTGGCATTGTTTTGCTTTGTATGGAGCTATTTAACAATCTTTCCTATAGCTCAAAAAGAGCATGGTGCTAACAATGCCAAGGTCATGGGTGTGATTCCCAGTGTGGTAGGTCATGGGTTTGATTCCCATATGTTCGATTCCTAGGACACAAGGTCATGGGTTTGATTCCCAGGATGTAATGTAATGGGTTCGATTCCCAATATGTAAGGTCATGGGTTTGATTCCCATATGTTCGATTCCCAGGACACAAGGCCCATTGGTTTGATTCCCATGACGAAAGGTCATGGGTTTGATTCCCAGATCATGGGTTCGATTCCCAGGATGTAAGGTAATGGGTTCGATTCCCAATATGCAAGGTCATGGGTTTGATTCCCATATGTTAGATTCCTAGGACATAAGGTCATTGGTTTGATTCCCAGGTCATGGGTTCGATTCCCAGGATGTTACATAATGGGTTCGATTCCCAATATGTAAGGTCATGGGTTTGATTCCCAGGTCATGGGTTCGATTCCCAATATGTAAGGTCATGGGTTTGATTCCCATGTTTGATTCCTAGGACACAAGGTTATTGGTTTGATTCCCATGACGAAAGGTCATGGGTTAGATTCCCAGGATGTAAGGTAATGGGTTCGATTCCCAATATGCAAGGTCAAGGGATTGATTCTCAGATCATGGGTTCGATTCCCAGGATGTAAGGTAATGGGTTCGATTCTTAGGACTTTCATTGCATTCAAGGATGTACCACTTTGGATAAAATGCATAAATGTAAATGTAAATGTCTTGTGTTCTTTGTGTTACAGGACAGCAAAACTAAAACCTGGCCTCCTAAAGCCCCCTGGCAGCACTCCTCACACACCAACACCATGCCCAATCCCAGCTCTTCCCTCTACCAGATGACCATCCCTTCCAGCCAATGGGGCGACTCCATGCAAATGCTGCAGTCTCCAGTGTGGTCGACAGCCAATGACTGTCCTCCATCCTCCGGGATGTCCTCCGGCTTCCCGTTCACACAACAACAACAACAACAACAACAACAGCAGCAGCAGCAGCAGGTTTCCCTGGTGGTTATCCTGAGCAAAGGCTTCAAAACCTTCCCGCTCAAACCCGAGCATCGACCCTCGTACCTGCACCAGTACTGAGCTGGACCTGTGCTGGGAGAGGTCGCAGACCCTTTTCGTGTATTTTGAGTAATGCTCAGGATGTGAACCCAGATCAGCTTTTAAAGGCTTTGAGTAGGACGCCACTGAGAAACTTTATAAAGGGGTTTCGGTTGTGTCGGGGAAGCGGAAGGATGTTATTTAATTATTCAAACACGGCGTTGTAGAAACCTTGATCTTGTGGTGTGCCGTGAACCTGATCTAGACTCCAACCTTGTAAACTAGAAGTGTTTTTATGGGGAAATTTGCAATTAACATAGTGGTCAATAACATTTTTGTACACCGATGCGTGTCAAACATCCCCAAACAGAACATTACTGCCTTCCACGCAGTCCAAACGATGCATGATTCATGTTAACAGCTAGTCGGACCATTTCACTGGCGGCCGCATCGGCACGACTGATGCCTTCAGTCTCGTAGCGGCGTTCGGCTTCGAGTTTACACGACTTTTTCGATATGCATGGCCACCGTGCTCACTCACAGCACACTATCGCAGCCGCATTACGAAGATCCGGACGTCCTGGTCTGCTAACCGGACGTCCCACATAACGATACTGTGTTTAAATAGCTGTAACTGCCAAATGTCACGTGGGACGACCCAGACTGCAGCTCTCAGCTACTGTTCCATAGCTTGTAAATGACTCGAAAAAAGAAACGAAAAAGAACTATAAATAATTTACTTTTTACGAAGAGGCTTCGAGCAGGCTCGGCAGAAATATAATAATCATAGCAGAGGTGTAATTTGAAAGAAATACACTACTTTTTCAACATCTGAGAGATTAAAAAAAAAGATTAAAATACAACTAAAAAAGGATGTTATTAGTAACTTTGTGCCATGTTGTTTTGAATAGCACTTGCAGATATTTTCTCTAACCAAAGTATTGTTTAGAGGGGGGAAATGGTGCTTTAAAAAAAAAAAAAAAAATAGCCGTTTGGGAGCCGTAGTAGTAGTTCTATCTAGAAAGAAGAGAAACAACTTTTTAGCAAAAACAAACCCTTCTGTACGGTCAAACGCGTTCATTTTCCCATTGGCTTTCTTCAGAACGACACTAACAAACACTTCCCATAAAAATAACATGTATTCCTTTCAAATACGATATATTTCTTGTACAAATACTGACAGTATTAATCTTATTTTTGTATTTTCTTACACATTATACCATTACTCTATAAGTTAGCGTAATATAGGCTTATTATTAAGTAAAACATTATTTTCCCAAGATGTGAAGCACATTTCTTTTCTTTCCTACAGAGTTGAACTATACCTTCTTTCTACAGAGGTTACCAAATACGCCATTATAAACACTAATAAATGGTTCTGGTCGGATTGGGGTGTTTTTTTTTTTTTTTGGTGGTTATTTTGAGCCCGGATTCCCGTTGGTTTCTGTGGTTCCGGGCTGCATCTGAAAAGCCCCGAATGTTCATTTCGTGACGTTTGCCGATGCCAATGTTGCCTGTATTTATGATATGACCATGTTTTCTGAAAACTAACATACTTACCATGTTTACAGAGAATCGTTTGCTGTATATAAATATATCTTTTTATAGTTCTGTGCTTTGCACAATCAAAATATAGGTCCGTTGCTTCGTCCGTGTTTTCCTCCCAAACTGTTTCGGCATTTTTTTTTTTTTTTAAGATTAAACATTTTCGATGACCTTGGACTGTAATGCTCAACATTTCTCAGCTGTGTCAAAATGGTTTACTAGTGGCTTCAAAAAATAAAAGGAGTTTAAAAAAATTCAATGGAAAGAAACGACGTTGCCCTGACTGAAGACATGAGGGGCGACCGCTTGGCTTATGTTGCTTATTGTTCACTAGAGCTGGCAACTGATTTATTTCCAAGTGTACCAGCAATGCAAAAAATAAATATATAACATAACATCTGCTTTCATTTCGTCTTTGATTCCTTTTGCATACATATTTAGTATTCACATTTTCTCCTCATTCGCATGACTGTAACGTGTTTGGGTTAACAAAAACATGGTGTGTAAATACTTTATAACAAGATATATATGTAGATCCAGATGGAATCTGACTAGCATTTTCTGCAGAATGGATTTAAACATGGCTAAATGGAGCTGAAAATACGCTTCATCAAATTCAGACTAAATAATTAGTGATGAAATGGCGATGGTCTGTGGACTTCTGCTGCGTATGTAAAAGTGCAAGTGTTTATTGTAGTTTATACATTTACTATACAAAGCATTGAAGTAAAAACATTATGAAATTATTCACATAAAATATTCCCCAACGGACATCTGGAGTGTCTTTCCTCTCAGCCAATGCGATTCGGTGGTTAAAAAAACGAGACATATACATATAGAACATTATTTAATAAATTATAATTATATATTTCATATATGAAACATATATTATAATTGTAAAATAATTATAACTATACAGTTGTAATTTTATATATATATATATATATGGAGGAATTTTTTTCTCTGTGCAACTCTATACTTAATTCTATAGTCCCTCATATGAATGTCCGCAAACAGGTCAAGATTAATTTTTTTTTTTTTTTGCACCAGAGATATAATTTAGTTCTTTACGACTATTTCAAACCCTCTTCAACTGGCTGTTTGTGCAACTGTAGCTTTAATATTTCTATATGTAAATGACCTCATAAGTGACTAACCTCTGTGTAATACTTAATGCTATCTTCAGTTTGCTAAATAAGTATGGATCTGTAAATATGGTGGTTGAATGTTGAGCGTGTGGTTTTAATTATGACATTAAAAATGTGATTTTAACTTCTCACTTAAAAGATATACATTATGGAACTATAAGTAACTGTCAAACTTAATTTCTTTAGTTTTGTGTTTCCATTTTGTTTCAATTTACAATAACAAAATTCTCAACACTACCTAGATTTGAAGTCTTTATTGCTGAAATTGCCCATGCTGTGAAACCTCCTAAACTCATAAATAATAAGTTTATGATTTTATCTTCCATACTGCTTGAGGTTTCCCTTGTTTGTTTGTCTGTTAGTATATTTTCCCCTTTAATTTTCCTTTTAATACATTTGTGCAATAAATCTAACTTGTATATCTGCACAACTTTTTATAAAACAACTTATACTGAGTTTGTTTTCTCACTTAAAAATAATGATTATATAGTAAATGTTGAGTTTGTGATTTTACTCTTTAAATAATGATTATATTCCATGTATACATAAACTATTCACGTTTTTATTGTTTCAATCGATTCGTGGAACTTTCGCGTTCACACAAGAAGATTGAAGATTGGTTCATTTTGCTGAACGAGACTCAAAGGTCCGAGTCGGTAAAATGATCCGAACTTCCCATCACTATTCGACGCCTTTTCTCTTCTTAAAAAAAAAATCAATATCCAATACATATGCCGATATGAAATGTAAAACAAGCTCACAACTGTACATAATATAAGCTATGTTTCTCAACCAGTAAACCACAGTTTAGAACCTAGCAAAAATATTACAAATATTTAAAAGAACAGAATAAGAGATCCAGACATGTAAACTGATATTATATTTCTTAATCTGACCCCTCAGTATCTGTTTCTGAAACAGGATGTTTAATTTAAAAATTCAAATTGTTGTATTAAAATGGTCTAAGAGAATTACAATGCTAAAATCTCAGAATATGATGTTGATTTACATTATTGTTTTATATGTACACTCTCAGAAATAAAGGTAGAGCAGCTGTCACCGGGGCGGTACCTTTTCAAAAGGTACTTGTTTGTACCTAAAGGGTCCATATTGGTACTTAAAGTGTACATAGAACCTAATAGTTACAAAAGTATACCTTTTGAAAAGGTACCGCCCCAGTGACAGCTGCTCTACTTTTATTTCTGAGAGTGTATATTTATTTATATAAAAAATATCTAAATTAATCTCACAAAAATAAAATGCTGTTAAAATGTGGCTAAAAATGCAAAAACAAAAGAGCTTCTAAAAGATTAATAGCCTTCAATATTTTCAACAAGTATCGGACATATCTTTTAATCTGGCTGCTCAGCAACTGTTTTTACATTTCTAGAATCACAAAATTCATTGTCGTTAATCGCTTTAATATAGTGACATTCATAGTTTTTCTTTAATAATTAAAAAAAATGGCTATAACATAACTGCAGTGATATTTTAGCCTACACCGTCATGTTTTGAGTACAGAAAGGATAACATTTTAGTTTTCACGTTGCATGACTTTTCTCATTTTATTTTCAGAATCAAGAATTTATTTTCTTAATATGCTTTTAATATTCCCAATAGTGTAAAAAAAATCCTATAAATTATATTTAAAACACTTAACACTTTATACTGCATTGGATAACATGAACAATTCTACAGCATTATTACGGTTACTTTCAACATTTAGTAATACATTAAAGTAAAAAAAAAATTGAATGCACTGTGAACTTTTTTTATGCTATGAGAAAGTTACAAGACGACCAATAAATTAAATATTCTTAATTCTGAAAGTAAAAAGTTGCTATGCTTTCGTAATCCTGTAACACTCAAAATTAAATATATCTACAGTGGGTACGGAAAGTATTCAAACCCCCTTAAATTTTTCACTCTTTGTTATATTGCAGCCATTTGCTAAAATCATTTAAGTTAATTTTTTGTACTACAAACCGTGTCAAACTATTAAATGAAGCAAAAGCACCTACATTTACCAGACGGATGAGCACCAAACCAGCATAGACGTGAATCCAGCGGGCCAGCCTCTAGACTGGCTTTTGGTGCTTCAAAAGACATTAGAGAACAGATCCAAAAAACAACAACATTGCATTATAAAGCTATATGACTGAGGAGCGCTCACAGTATCAGCGGGGTCTGTCCTAACTGAATATTATCAATCAAGGAACTAAAGGTTGATGCAAAAATACCAGATAATAATAGTATAATAGATAATTCTCCCGTCCGAACGTATCGAATGCAGATCAAACGTTTCCAAAAAACAGCAAATGTTTTTTTTTCTAAAAAAGGAAGGAGAAAATAAACTCAAAGCTGCGTGTCCAGCGCTGGTGTTAAACCGAGAGAGGCAGTCCCCGTAAATCAGGAGTCAAAACCAAAGCGTTAATCTAGACGAGATGATCGGAGATTCTTGGCTGTTGGGATGATCTGGTCTTCAGGTTGGACTACGCCGCCACTTTGTTCTCCTTCTGAAACAAACGTCAAACACACAGACACAAAAGAAAAGACGGAGGTTAGAAGGCATTCAAATCATTTTACTCATTTCATTGGCGTAGGAGGAGTTTAATTTGGGGGTAAAAACCCAATATGCCAATATCAGACAAAATGGCAGATCTCTAATTGGCTGATAATGATATAGTCACAACACCAGTGTTATTTTAGTATCGTTTATAATATACGATTATAGTATTCATCAATATATTCAATTAGCTTTTATCTTATCTAGTGTTCCTGTGGCTCAGTGGTGCATTGAGAGCATTGCGTTAGCAGCGCAAAAGGTCGTGGGTTCGATTCCCAGGGAACACACACATACTGGTAAAAAATGTATAGCCTGAATGCACTGTAAGTCGCTTTGGATAAAAGCGTCTGCTAAATGCATAAATTATTATTATTTATTAAATTATCTTTATTTTAATTTTTAGCAATTTTATGAGCCTTTATATACATAAACATTACATTTAATGTTTAAATAGCTTTAATTTTTAGTAATTTTTCAACTTGAACAAAAATTAGAAAGGTTGCCTTGGCAACTACCTTAAATAACCCAGTGTAAGTTTTCTTGACTAATTTTATTTGAATTACCAAAGATGGCTAGGGGTTTGTCGAGTTTATATCAAAAAGCCCTCTTATAGTTAAATTTACATAATTGACATCAAAAGGCAAGAATAAGCGGCACTCAAATATCAAAATACATTTTAAAGAGGAGAACAGCAAGGTGAAACAACCTTGCTGTTTAGAGTGGCAGAGAGAGAGGACTTCCGGACAAAAACTTAATTCATCAATACATTCAATCATAAACCAGGGTGTTTTTGTGACCCACTGAGGCTCGACCAGACTATCCGCAAAAAAAAAAAAGAGCTTTTGGGGGCTGAAATAAACTAATGAACTAGTACTACAAACCGTGTCAAACTATTAAATGAAGCAAAAGCACCTACATTTACCAGACGGATGAGCACCAAACCAGCATAGACGTGAATCCAGCGGGCCAGCCTCTAGACTGGCTTTTGGTGCTTCAAAAGACATTAGAGAACAGATCCAAAAAACAACAACATTGCATTATAAAGCTATATGACTGAGGAGCGCTCACAGTATCAGCGGGGTCTGTCCTAACTGAATATTATCAATCAAGGAACTAAAGGTTGATGCAAAAATACCAGATAATAATAGTATAATAGATAATTCTCCCGTCCGAACGTATCGAATGCAGATCAAACGTTTCCAAAAAACAGCAAATGTTTTTTTTTCTAAAAAAGGAAGGAGAAAATAAACTCAAAGCTGCGTGTCCAGCGCTGGTGTTAAACCGAGAGAGGCAGTCCCCGTAAATCAGGAGTCAAAACCAAAGCGTTAATCTAGACGAGATGATCGGAGATTCTTGGCTGTTGGGATGATCTGGTCTTCAGGTTGGACTACGCCGCCACTTTGTTCTCCTTCTGAAACAAACGTCAAACACACAGACACAAAAGAAAAGACGGAGGTTAGAAGGCATTCAAATCATTTTACTCATTTCATTGGCGTAGGAGGAGTTTAATTTGGGGGTAAAAACCCAATATGCCAATATCAGACAAAATGGCAGATCTCTAATTGGCTGATAATGATATAGTCACAACACCAGTGTTATTTTAGTATCGTTTATAATATACGATTATAGTATTCATCAATATATTCAATTAGCTTTTATCTTATCTAGTGTTCCTGTGGCTCAGTGGTGCATTGAGAGCATTGCGTTAGCAGCACAAAAGGTCGTGGGTTCGATTCCCAGGGAACACACACATACTGGTAAAAAATGTATAGCCTGAATGCACTGTAAGTCGCTTTGGATAAAAGCGTCTGCTAAATGCATAAATTATTATTATTTATTAAATTATCTTTATTTTAATTTTTAGCAATTTTATGAGCCTTTATATACATAAACATTACATTTAATGTTTAAATAGCTTTAATTTTTAGTAATTTTTCAACTTGAACAAAAATTAGAAAGGTTGCCTTGGCAACTACCTTAAATAACCCAGTGTAAGTTTTCTTGACTAATTTTATTTGAATTACCAAAGATGGCTAACATTTTATTTTAAGGATCAATTCTCACCATTAACTAGAAGCTTGTTAGCATGCATATTACTAGCATATTGGCTGTTTATTAGTGCATATAAATGGCTTATTCTGCATGACCATATTTTAGATCTCTTAATCTCTACCCCATACCTAAACTTAACTACCTTACTATTAATAAGCAGAAAATTAGGAGTTTGTTCAGGGAAAACTCTTAGCTAATAGTGAATATGCATTCCCTATTCTAAAGTCTTACCCAACAAAGTACAACACATTCCACATCCCTAATATTTGAGATGGACCCTTTTCACAGATTGAGACAATGCGTTTCCAGTTATTTGCATCAGAAAACGAACGTTTAAAAAAAAAAAAAAAGCTTCATTATATAACACTATACTTTGTATTACAAAACTAGTTAATGCTGCTGCATGAGAGTTTCTAACAGCTCTCTTCTGACTAAAATAATCAATCTTGATTTGAAAAAGAAAAGTCATGAAAACGCTATTGTGGATTTTTGTTATCGGAGCAAATGGGAATGCAAAAATGATTTGTTGCAGTTTCCGTTCATCACTAAAGAAGTTCACCCGGCTATCGTGACCTCTGCTTCTGAGAACTGTGAAAAGGGTCCATTGCTGTAGTAAGAGAGGAAGTGCTAACCCTGTACTCAAAGTCAGAGAACTCTCGTCCTCCTCTGCCGCCTCTAAACCCGCCCCTGAATCCGCCGCCGCCCCCGCGGGAGGGCATGAACGAGCCCCTGCTAACCGCACGCCCGCGACCGCCACGGAAGCCCATGCCGCCACCTCTGCCGCGGAAACCACCGCGTCCGCGACGCAGAGGAATACCGAACGTCTCGGCGTTCATCCTCCTCTCCTCTGCCCATGTCTGCCTCCGTTCCCTGAGAACGAAAAATACATCAGAACGCAGTTCAACAGTGGCTACGTTTACATGCACAATTTTTGGTTCAATCGGACTGAATTCATTCCGACTGATGAATCTAAATGTAGTGTTTACATGAACGCTAAATAAAGTGATCGGGTTGATGTGCACGTTTATGTGTCACAAGCTTCAAATCGGAATTTTTTTTGACATGCGCACACTGCACAAATATAGAGTTTCTCACTGTTTGCACATAAAAACCACTCTCCCACACAGTTTCTTTATTTGTTTTTAACAGCAGAATTTATCTGTGTCCATTCATGGATAAGTATACATATAAACCGCTGTGCCGTGCTGCTCATATCTATTCATAAATAAATCTATTTAATTCCGATCGACCTCAATCGGATCGATTAAGGTGTTTACATGAAGGCTTTTCAATCCGATTACAAACGGATTATTTGGTTGCATGTAAACGTAGCCAGTGTGTCATTCATTACTGCTGTTGTGCAAGATTCAATCTCAAATCCACCTTTGGCAGGATGCCCGTCTAATCTGCAACATGTTTACGTGACATTCATCTTGGAGTGAGCTAGATTTGGAGTCTGATATAAAAAAACAGCTGCTTTATAAGATGCCATGGACACATTTGCAATGAAAGGTTTCATTGTATTGTTGAGAAAATTGACTGTGTGACAAAATTCGAAGGTAGCTAATCTTTTCAAATGCAACCTGAAAACACAGTGACATTTCTGTTGCTTTGGTTATATCATTTGATCAGGTTTTCAACACTTTCTGACCAATTAATTTAAATATTTAAATTGTTTGTAATAACTGGTTGCTATTTTTTTTTTTAAAGATGAAAAGATCCCACTCACAAAGAATCATTTCCATCTTAAGAAATAATCCTGTGCGACACCATCTGAATTTCTTGAATATGATTCCGACTACCCAGAATTCACAAGCGTAGCTTCATAAACACATTAGCATGTCTAAACATTTATATACATATATATAAAAAAAGACTGCACCTTCCAAAAGCACCTCCAGATTTCTCCTTTCTAGAAAAGACAGAAGAGCGTACGCCTATTAGATGATTCATTCACCGTTACTTCTAAACTTCACCACAACAAATTACTACACTAAATGAAGAATTACTGAATCGCTCAAAAGCATTTACACCGTTCGAACCAGGTCAGACAAGATAGATGTTAAACGCTGATGCTTTTTCATGACTCACTGTTGGATCAGACCGTTAAAAAAAACATTTTTTTTTTACAGAAAACTGGACTAATATTTTATTTCTGTGACTTGAGCATTGTAGCAAGATCATGTGACAATTGTAGCAATTTTTTGTATAGCATAGCCTATTGTTGAATACTGCATACGGCATCTGAGAACACACTGTTAATGGACATTAGGGCTGGGTTGAAGATGTTGATTACCCAATTTTGATCTGTTAGTCGATGCTGTTTTCAGCTGATGTGTGAATAAAACTGTACATAGATACTTCTGATAAGAAAACCGTCACACAATTTAAACAATGTTGTTTTGGTACTCTTTAATGTGGCTATGGACATCAATAATACAACCATTTGATGTCCATAGCTCGTTAGTCAACGAGACAAAAAATAACTAGAGAGAAGCATTTTGCTCATTATATGTACTATATTACATTGATTAGGTGTTTACAGCTTTTACAAACATTATAAAACACTATAAACATGTATTTTAGTTCCTCTCAATCAACAACAAATACTATAAATTTAACAGTGAACAGGAAAGAAAAGTGTAAGTATAAAACAAATTTTGGTATAAAAACTGCCTTATACTGTATGTACTTTACTAAATTTGCTAAATATAACTTTTTGTGTTACCAAATGAGACGAGTCTTCTCCTTAAGAAAAATTCACATGCATCTGAAATATTTCCAAATGAATCGGTATCGAATCAAGAGTTTTGTGAATTGGAATCGAATCAAACCGTGAAGTCTGTGCCGATACCCAGCCCTAATCAACATACTAAAAATGTTCGCGCAGGAGCCGAGATCTCACCTGGAGTCGTCACAGGAGATGTTGTCGAAGAAGGACTTGGATTTGTCATAGTAACAGTTGGGTCCCAGTGGATCCTCCACATCAGCGTTGCGTTCACTGCTCTGGGTCTCCACACCTGAATCGGTCTTCTCCTCCCCGTTCAGAGTCTTCTCTGATTTCTCACTCTTCTCATCTGCAGCACAGAGTGATATTATAATACCGACATTCAAAATTAAACCTAATAATGAATACTGCACTCTTGGTTTGTGTTGATGTAACATAGTAATACAGTTTTCCCACACAGCACCTTTAATCTTGAGTTTGTTTTGGAACTCGCGGTCAATCTCTTCCTTATTGAACTGTGCGTTGGCACTCTCAAAGTCAAAGTCTTTCTCAAATTTCATTGGCCCATCTCTACACCCGTTAAACCTGCCCCGCCCACGCTGACCGCCGCCTCCACCACCATTGCCCCGCCCCTTTCTCACTGGCGGAGCGCCACCTGGAGAGAGAAATAACCATTATCACAAATGAAGCTTATGGTCCTGATCATGATCATGTTTATGCAAATGCAGGACATGAGTTTTAAAGAGCAGGTCATGTGGTATTTTAAAGTGTCCTAATATTGTGTTGGAGTCCCCTACAACAGGTTTAAATGCATCTAAGGTCAGAAAACATTGTAATTTTTCTCAGAATATACATTTAATATTAGAGACATTTGCCAATAATTTTGAAACGATTTGTTCAAAGCAAGTTCGGCGCAAACCCCTCCCTTCCATAAGCCTACTCTGCTCCGATTGGTCAGCTGGCCAAGCCTGCTGTGATTGGCACAGAGAGGAGTCCTCGAGCAAGTTAGCGAGCGCTACCATTGACAAAGCACCTTTGCATAAAACAATAATATAGTGCTCCAATCCGTTCTTAAAATACAAAAACACTTATGCAAGCGAATCGTGCCCACAGCTAAAGTTTAGCTGCCAAACTGTGAACACTTAACCCTATAACTGCCGGTGCTGCAAAATAAACAGCAATTTCACAATGATTATAACGTCTGTGTGCTACACTACATTCTTTATTATTAAACGACGTAATTAGAACAACGTCAGTCTACATTAATCGACACGTTGTTAGGAAATAGTGGGTTCACAGCGAATTATCAGATCTACTTCAGTAAGACAGTAATATCGTGCTTTACCTGGAAACCTAAATCTGCATTAGGTATACATCACATATTAGCACAAAAACTTGATATTTTGAGCACTCAATTGAAAATGTACACATAACGTATCAATCGTAGGACTTACAGGTTGTAGTTCGAAGAGCTTGTTGGTCCAAATTAAGAAGATTAGAAGCCAACGAAGATAAAAGCCAAGATTAGAGAAGCAGTCCTCGGTAAAATGACATGCACACAACAAAAAGTTTGAATTGTATTTCTGTGGTATCCTTGAACACAGCGTCTTCTCAACATGATGTAAACACACTAACTAGTCTAGCGGAAGTGTTTGTGGGCAGGTCAGACTCTGTTCGTATTTCGCGGGCAGGTGGGGATTATGCAAATGTGTTACCCAGTGACGTATACCAATAACAGGCCAAAGATTCGAAAATATGACGACTCGTTAAGGCGATTCAGAATCGACTCTCTTTTGAGAGACAATATCTTTATCATGCACTTTTTTGATTAACAACTTTGCAGATTGTTTTCATTTAAGGATAGCTACGTTATAAGCTGCAAAAGAGATCTTTTTCAAAAACCCGTATGACCTGCTCTTTAAAGCGACTCACCACTAGAATGCCGTTTGTTTGGGTCTTTGTTATCAGGCCTGATTGAGTCTGATTCTGGCCGAGGAACCCTCTGAACGTCAGACGCTGTAGCTGAACAACAGATATCACAATTAATGGCTGCAGGTGAAAAACTCTTCTTCAGCTATATATGTACATTAAACTCTTACGTTTGTCATTTTCCAATGCCCTGATTCTCACCTTTTTGTTCCTGGTTTTCAGCAGATTTCTGTGTGCTGAGAGCGGGTCGGGCCGTTCCAGGGTTCCTCTGACCCACTGTACTGGTTGCAGCCACAGAGAGGGCGACTGGGGCCGTCTGGACCGCATGCTCCAGGACCGGGGTCTTCCTCAAGGGCTCCAGAGATGGGCTTGAACGACCTGAACGAGAGGACACAATTCAGACTCACAAAAACAACACGACAATGTGGACAAGAGTTAGACGATGGAAAATGTCAGTGCAGCTCTGTATCATTTAACGTGGTAAACGTGAACTGAAGGAATAGTTCAGTCACTAATGAAAATTTGCTGAAAATTAACTCGGATGTAGATGAGTTTGTTTCTTCATGGGAACAGATTTGGTCAAATTTAGCATTACATCACTTGCTCACCAATGGATCCTCTGCAGGATGTAAGAAACAAATCCATCAAGGTCAAAGTACGAGTCCATAATAACTAGGGATGTCTCGATCGGGTGTATCTGCCAGTACAGAGTCCCGATCTGATACTTGTATTTTCCTAGTGCTTGGTGCACATTTGAAGTACATTAAAGTTATTAAAATAAATCGAATGTATACAGGGATGTGCAGAGACTTTCTCAGGGGCAGGGCATCAAATGTAAAAAAAAAAAAAAAAAAAGGGGCATCTATCATCATCACTATTATCCAATTTAACAAATACGGTCTCTCTCTCTCTCTTTACATATCTTCCAATAATAAGAAGATACACACATCTCTCTTTATATGCAAGCACTGTATAAAGACCTTGGTAGATATAAACTTGTATTTTATATGTACAATAAGCAGATTAATTGCAACGTAAAGGGAAAAAAATTTGAGATAAGGTTAGAAAGCATGAAGTTCACAAAAGCCAGAATGCCAGTCAAGTCCAAAGCAAGATGCAACCCATAGCAACGCGTTGACAACGATGTGACAGATAGTCTGATGGCAGATAAAAGTAGTAAATAAATTACTGAAGATTCCTTACACAAAGTGCACATTAAATACGCTACTAAACACTTAATCGTGAAGATTTGAGCAGATTTCTCTCCTGATTCAGAGGAGAAAGCAGTATTATGGATAGAAGACTCACATTTTAGCTGGAAGGAATGGTTTAAAGGTAAAAGTGTCTTTAACTTCAGCGTTTCACTTCTCCAGATGTGAACCGATGGACTGGAGTGGTGTGGATTATTGTGATGTTTTTATCAGCTGTTTGGACTCTCATTCTGACGGCACCCATTCACTACAGAGGATCCATTGGTGAACAAGTGATGCAATGCTACATTCCTTCAAATCTGATGAAGAAACAAACTCATCTACATCTTGGGAGTACTTTTTCAGCAAATGTTCATTTTTCTGTGAACTATTCCTTTGAGACAACATGAAATGAGCATAATTTACAATGCATTTAACTTCTGTAATGTGCATCACAGGAGTGGGACTTTTGTCCATTCAGATTTGATGACTGCATTGTGTACAATGTGGTATGATTACTATGTAGTCAATAATATACTATTTGTCTTGCACTGCGTACATCAACACAAAATGTTTCAAAAGGTCAAATATAGTTCTTGCAACTTAATGAAAAATTGAAAAATATTTCTTTCAAATAAATGTGCACTGATAAATCACGCACAAAAAAGACCAGCATTTATTATTTTGATTTCATGTCGTCTTCAAAAAAGAACACAGTTTACAAACAGACCAAAGAAGAATGACACTCGAGTCATGAAACTGTGACACGGCAAAGACACATGCTGTAATCCTGCGTAACTACGACCAAAAGACGAACACACTAAAGCCATTCTTCACACGTTAGCGTCGGTTCTCCGGTTACCTTCGGGTTTGGTAGCACTCAGCGAGCGAGAGTGCGGGGCAAGAGCAGAGCTCTGGGACAGAGGGGCAGTAGTGCTCGCCTCGCTACCGAACGCAGGACCTGAGCTGCTTCCTGTGAGGGGAGGAAGTGCACATCTTTAAGTGTGGGCTTTAACACATCACACACTTGGAGAAAAACCCCTCATATGAAGCTTACATAAGAGCCAAACACTCATGCAATCAACCCTTTTATAAGAGCTACTTGCTTAACCAATGCTCACTCAGACAATTAGCCTTGGTCAATATTTCTTTAAAGTTTAAGAAAAAAAATTCTGTGCATCCTCTCCAGGTAATAATTCCTTACATTTATACAGCGCTTTTCTGAGCACGCAAAGCACTTTACATAGAAGGGGGGAATCTCCTCAACCTCTGGTTCTTGGCACATATATGTGTGCAATATAAAACACATTTATTTCAAAATAAACATTTGCAATTTGATAGGCACTGGTGAATATATTGTCAATCTATCCTATCATATTTATAAAAAAAAAAAAGGCCAGCTATCATCTTAACTGGCACTGTTTTTATGCCATGTCATAAGGAAGTTTACAATTTAAGGACAAGGCAAGACACCACAGGTGAAGAGAGTAAAATACAAAATAAAAATTTTAAACTGATAGAAAATGAATACAACTAACAGATATAACCATACTTCCCCAGTTGATTAAATACAATACATTAAGACATTTGTTTTGTACTACCCTTTCTGAAATGTTATGTTTAAATATGCATATGAGGCATAATAAAATATGCACTAAATTGCATAAATCAGCCAATGATAAAAATCTTTAGAATATCCACATTTTTCTTGCCGTAAAAATGGGCGTGGCCATTTGTAAATTCTATGGGTCTGGCTTCCGGTCTCATCCACATCCAGCTGTTTTGTACCTGTACAAAACAGTTCGTTTTGGTGCTTGATATCGAAAATGTGTGTCTTACCATATTATTTTAATGTATTATCTTAATTATGAACACACTGGTTTGTAGTGCAAACAGTTTTACCGTTTACTGCATGTTGTTATTCTTCTCGTTATTTAGCGGCTAATGAACCGGAAGTCTCGCCCATAGGCTTACTTCCGCGTCGAAGAAAAAGGTGGATAAAGAGGAATAAAACTGTGAAGTCTGCTGTATGCAAGTGCTGAAAAAACTGGTTTTGAGAGAATAGCCTTTAAATATATGAACTCTAATTGAAATCTGCAGACGCAAATACACGTAAACGTTACATGGAACCAAAATTGACCTGTGCATGGTTTTGCCTGTAACGTCTTGCCTTAAAGCACTTCCGAGATTTCAATGTGATATTTGGCATAAATTCAAATAATGTTTTGTTTGTGTACTCTCTTTTAAACACCATCTCCAATGCTGGAAGCTACAAGAGTGAGTGTGAACTCACCAGCCGTGACCGCCGCTCCGAACGGCTGGGGTACCATCGGGCTGTACGGGGCCCGACTGAAGGGGGCGTACGACTGAAAGGACGGAGCCGTGGGACCGGCTGTGGATGCCAGAGAGGACTGCACACAAACACAAGAACGACACGGGTCAATATTCACTCCGCCGTCTGCTCTGCAGATACACCTGAACGCGTGAAGCTCACCTGCACAATGGCGGGATCCTGAGGAAGGTTGCAGGTGGGTTTGGGCGGCTCGCACACCGTCAGGTCTTTGATGTCACTTCCTCTGAATATGATGTACTCAAAGATATCATCTCGAGGAGGGATCGGTCTGTCCGTGGGACGATCCTCAGTGCCAAAGGACTTCACTAGAAAAGAAAACGAGAGGGGAAAATGTTCAAATCCACAAAACCTGCAACATTAGTTATTATGCTCACCAGGGCTCTAGATTAGGGCTGAAACGATTTCTCGAATACCTCGAGTAACTCGAATACAAAAAAATCACAGAGGCAAATCCATTTACTGTAACTACACACTGAACACCATGTTTCCCCACGGACCATTATTACTGACACACAACCCTGATAAACGCTGGACTTTAAAAAAAGCGGCGGACATATTTAGGATCGTAAATCAATATGGTGGCTAGTTATGATGTCCCTACGTTAGGGGTGTGCGATATATATCGTCTGCGATAATATCATAATTGTTGTTTTAACGACCATTCAAAACATCCCTACAGAGCGCACGCATACATTACGTGAAGTCTAGACTAGTGCGTGTGCGCATTTAGTGTGTTTTCTTTCACTGCACGATTCAGGCTATTAAAATGCATTTAGAACGATCACAAATTCAAGACATGGCAGAAAATTTATATATTTATACCACTTCATATAGTTATTCAATTTCACACGAAGAGTGCCGTTTTTCTCCAAAAATGACCATTACAAATGTGACATTGAATTCAATAAACAATGTTAATTAAGAGACTTATGTTTTAGACACCATATTGCTTGTTTTTGCTCTATTTCACCAACAAAAATCATTCTGAATACAGCCACATCGCTGTTTTGTGTCTCTGAGCAACACGACGCTGTTTCGTTCCTGAATGAATCAACCGTTTAAATGATTCGGTTCAATCGCAATGACTCGCTTATTAACAGTGACTTGCTGCCACCTACTGGCGGTTTTAATTTCACATTTTAAGTATCTTTTCGTTTTTAAAATAATTTTAAATATCAGTATTTTATGTTTAAAATAACAAAATATTATTTATGCATTTGTATGCATTCATGTGCGGGAAATTCATCCCATGCAGCTTCTGCGTGCGTTTGCATTACAAAGATGAATTTTGATACTGATGTCATTTGTTTGGTAACAGCCCAAATGTCTTTTATTCTAATTGACTGATTAAATGTAAGAATTTGACTCAAAAGATGATGCACACTTTTAGAAAAAAAGGCTTTATAAAGGTAAACATCCCCACAAAATGTAAAAATCAATTTAAACTTATTGGAACAGATTAATTTCTATCACTGCTGTGAACTGACCTGCACACAGAATATGAAAGATATCAAAAACAAGTTTTACACACACACACACACACAC